ACCCTATAGTATGGAAATACTTGATTTGACTTCTTAAAAGTCATCATATACATATTAAAGACATATAGAAACTGTACACTAAAGTGTAATCATTTAATGGCCCAATAATACTTTGGAACGTTGTTAAATCTGAGTGCTGGAGAATTTTGTTTCAAGACTAAATTGATGACAACGTATAATCTCATTGTGACAGCCACCTTATAGTCTATCATCCTGCTGGACCTAAGTGGTTTATCATCCAGATGAAGAGACATGACATATACCTAAGTACAGTCTTACATTAAGGAATACTCCTCTCTGTGTCTGTATACATATATAAATTTGTTTCATGTTTTCCCTTCCATTTTGTCTGTATAATCTGGAAGACTTAACTTTATGTTTCGTATTATAGGAAAAGAAAAAAGAGCAAGAGATAGCTGCCAGCTTGAGGTGGGCAGGTTCACAGTCTGGATACCCAGAGGAGACCTTTAATTCTTCCCTGTTCCTTGGATGGGGATAACCTCTTATTACTGACCCAGAAATGTCATATGGGCCCAGGGCAACAGCATGTAGCTATACCTCAGTAAGTTCATGACCACTCCAAAAAAAATGACTCAACATGCATGCCTTCCAGACAAGGAATCATTCTCATTGTCTTGCCTACTGAGGACCAACCCTTACTAAATCAGACAGCCACTAAGTGTAGCTGAAATTGAATTCAATGTAATTTGAAAATATTCTGTTTACTTAAAGCCCAGAAGCCTGGTGTGTGAAGAAGAATCCAGGGACAGGCGATGGTAGTTAAATTTGTACATTTTTCTTTCTTGTTGCAATTTTATCTTTTCTGAGCAATTTAATGAAGACTCCAGAGGAAAGAATTAAATGTCTGCTGGTTCAATTACTGAATAATGAAAAGGTCGAAAGGAGCACCATGCACTGTGTGCTGAGCTGCTATATCAGCCTATTCTTAGAGTAAAAATCATTTTTGTGTTCCTCACAGTTGCATTTTGCCACCCACAAACTGTACAGACTAGCACTGGGGAGAGAAGCTGAAACCAGGAGCTGGTACAGATCATCCTCCACAGGGTGGAAAGGCCTTGGCCTGCAAGGAGCATCTTATGATACCCACAGCCAGAGCCAAGAGTGTGGAGGCCATGGTTACCAACAGAAGGAATCAGGCTGGTTTAAGACCACACTTTGAGAGGATTCTAATCACTCAGCCAAGAGTACATTTTTAAACAACCTGTCCTTAGGACCACAGGAAGGCTTTGGGGACAAAACAGGTTGAGCACCAAGGATTTCAGGGACTCCCCAAGAGCACTGGGAAAGCCACCCCTGCAGCCAACTCACCATCGCTGTACATAGCAAAGAAAAATCACTGCAACACAAACATTGCTTATAAGATATGATGCTTTGGGATTAATTAGAACATTAGTTTGTGTTTTAAAACATAGTTTCTTTTAAATTTAAAATTTTCAAATTTTTAATTGATACTTAATTGCACGTAGTTTTGGAATACCGTATAGAATTTCAATATAATATATAACGAAGAGATCAAGTAACTGGCATACCTATCACCTCAAACATTTACAATTTGCGTTGGGAGCATTCAAAAGCCTCTCCATTTAGCTAATTTGAAATGTCAGATTAATTGTTGCCAACCAGTTATCCTACTAGTACTATAGAACATCGCAAGTTTTTACTTTCATCAAATTGCATCCTCGTACCCCTTGACCATACTCTAACATCTCATCACCTCTTCCCAAATATTAATTCTAATGTTTTAAACATAAGGCCTCCCTGGAATACTCTCTAAAAGGAGAAGCAGTTAGGTACTGACTCTTTTCACCTTGACATGGTAAGAGGTCTCTCCGTGCTTGCTGGTGCTCAATCCTGCAGTACTACCAATAAACACTAACATTGACAGACTCAATGAATAAGTCATTGTACTGCTTCTCTTCAGCTTCTTCTTTGGTTTGTATAAGGTGAAGAACCCCACTATTAGGGGATCACACTGAAATGTTTTGATAAGCTATGGTTGAATATAATTGAGCCATAGTAAAAACTACATGTGTGTTTATATTTCCTACCTATATGCACATATGAGAATTACATATCTAAATGTATATCGGTATATATGTGAATACATACACATTCATATGTGTATATTTATGGTGAGAGAGTTATTAAGAAGAAATGAAAATGACTGGATAAATAAACAGTAAGTTACTCTAGGTAAAGACAATTTGCATAGTCTTTTTAAAAAATGTATCAATAAGTTTGAAATTCTTTCTAAATAAAAAGTTTTAAAGTTTTGTTTTTTCCTTTTTCCCTTTCTATATTGGCTTCTTGCATGAAGCCTTTATGATTATACAGAAGCCACACTCTGAGTAAAAGGGTCTATAGGGCTGGGGTCACCCTGTGAGAAGACAACATACCCACTGATGTCCTTAACTAGAATGAAAATTGTCTTGGAGCAACCGCTCACACACAGGTCCCTGGAATGGCTCCTCCCATGGTGTGCTGGAAGTTGCTGAGAATTTATGCTCAGGTTAGAGATAGGAGTATGCCTAAGGGATGCAAGGATTCCTCTAGATAATTTTTTCTTCACTTTCCTTAAAATATTACAATCTAGAATTTCATTTTCTACTCTGTCTTAAATCATTTTAAGATTTGAGATAAACAATATATACAAAAAAGAAAATCCCTAAATTATGTATGCCACTCTTTGGGCCAGAAGTCTCTTATAACATGCAACAGCATCAATTGTTTATTAGAGCAGAAACTCTTCTCATTTGGGGAAGACCTTGATCATTAGTGTTTTTCCTGTACTCTCTAACAACAGAGTTGCAGGGTACAACTCTGAATGAAAATAGAAATAAATGAATAAGCACCACTTCAACTAATCTCTTCAGTCCTAAGAATGCATTTCAAGGTCTGAGCAGAGACATTTATGTCTATAATATTCATTCTATATAAATTCATACTTTTGATATGAAATTACAAACTTTATTAGGACCATTGGGAAACAGAAATGTAAAATACAACTGTAATAAGGTATTTGACACATACATAACTCACATAGGATTAATAACTACAATGTAGAATTCATTCTGACAAATGAATTAGAATTAATTCAAAAGGAAAATTGTTAAAAAAAAAACAAACTTGAATAGGCATTTTACAGAAGGGAAAGCACAAATGGCCATGATCTTTGAAAAGATGTTCCAAGTCATTAGTAAATGCAAAATACAAATTAAAACCACAAACATCATGTCATAAACACCAGATTGGCCCAAATTTCGGAGTCTCATAACACTAAAGTGCCAACAAAGATACTTTCACATACTTCTTCATGGAGTAGAAACTGGTACAATCACTTTGGGGAAATAATTGCCATTATAGAGCAAAGCTGAAACTTTGCATGCCCTGTGACCCAATAATTCCACTCCTAAGGTATATGCCTCAGAAACTCCAGCCAAGATGCAGAATGGGTTGTGCATAAGAATATATATAATAATACTTTTACAATAGAAGATGCCCAAAGTCTGCCAACAGTGTTGTGGACTAACACCTTGAAACATAGCCTACAATGGGACATCATGCAGCATTGAAAATACATAAACAATAGCTAGAAATAAAAAGAAACAAAGATGAAAAATAAACATCATCAACAAAGATAACCTCTGGGTTACCCATATATGTTGGATGAACAAAGCAAAATACAGAAGAATGCATACATGTGGTTCTATTTATAGCAAGTTCACAGATGATTTGTTTTTGGGAATAAAAACATCTGTGATAAAACTATAAAGAACAAGAGCATGATAAAAACTCAAGGTAGTGCCTACTTTGTGTTCAGGGCAGAAAGGTGATATGATCAGGATGAGATACATGGGCCTTTGCAGAAATTCTAATATCTATTTCCTACAAGAGGCATTGTACCGTTATACTTTGCATGATATACCTTTTTCCAAATATCCTTCTGTAAGTAATGAATACTTAACAGAAACAACTTGTAAGAAGAGGTGAAGAGACAAATGACTGAAAATATTTTTTAGGACAAGTTGGACAAATAAAGGAGTGCCACAACCTTTCAATCACTCTATCCTGGCAGTCTTTCCCTCCAAACGTGCCGTCCCATCCCCTGATCTGCCCCTTTCTTGATCCCTTTCTGCTCACTCAATCCAAAAGTAACAATCACTCAGAGTTACTAGCTGTCCAGAGGTGGAGGAAAGTTTAATAATGTTCACCTGAAGCAGCAGCCAAGCCTCTTTCTCTGTCATCCTATCCCTCATTAAAATGCAGGCCTCCTCCAGATGTGAATGACAAGCACATTACCCTGTTCACTCGCTGCACACACTTACAATTTCTGCAGCTTTGATGGGGTTATTATTATATCCAAATATTACTGAAAGCCATTATTACCTGGCTCTTGACTTTGATTTATTTTCTAATATTTATACACATTTCATTATGATAATGGAGCACATACTTAAAACAAAGCACATCTCTGTCCTCCAATCCAAATCTGAAATCTGAAAAAGCTCCTTGAAGCACAGTCACCTGTCTCTTCCTCCAATTACAACCATGTGGCCACAGCCCCTTAAGAAAAACGCACAAATGAAATTTGACATCAGTAGTGTAGCTATTGTCAAGTGTAGCACCTAGGAAGAAAAAATAAACCTAGCTCCAGTGAAATCTGATTCACCTGGTAGATCATTATAGATAAGGAAAGATTTTCCCCCTCCCCTGCACTACCTGTCACAGTGGATGGGAAGGTAGAAGGTTTTGCTATAATTTCAGTGTCGGTGAAATTTTTTACAGTATTTGTTTTGCATCGGTCACTACCAGCAAGTCAGGCTCTAACAATAGTAACATTTCATTAGAAAAACATCAGAGACTAGTAAAAAAAAATGTTAATTAATTCTAAATGACCCACGCGGAAGAGTCCATCACTTGGTGTTCTAAAGCATATTGAAGACTGAGTTAGTAACTGCCTTAAAAATACAACCACTTACCTCAGCGTGTTGTGCTACTGAACTTGCTTCAACTGCATAAACTCTCCTGGCTCCAGCCTGTACAGCAAAAAATGATAATATTCCTGATCCACAGCCAACATCTAGAACAACCTAGAAGGAAAGAAGACATAAAAAGGAAGACAAAACAAGCAAGTGTTTGGCTGTTGACCTTCAGACACTGAGGCCTGACTTAATTAAAGTACTAGCTTTGATACTCATTAGTAGTCCTACTTTAGCAAAGTTATAAATCTATGAGGCTGATTTTTCTCATATATTTAATGGGGTTAATAATAACACCTAAGGGTGGCTGTTGGCATTAAATAGCATGAAATGTACGAAAAATACATGGGACATCACCAGTGTTCCTTAAGTCATTGCTGTTACTGTTTCAATTCCTTTGTTACAAGGATGCTTCAAGGATGCTTAGGGCCAAGAAGAGTAAAGTGTCATGAAGGAGTGTTTCCACCAAATCTATCAGCATGATCAGAATGAAAACTGCCTCAAATAATTTTTGGAATGATATACATATATTTAGAAATAACTGATGACAGACTGTTGTTAAATCCAAAAGTGGATTAGGTATTTATTTTACCAGGCTCCCTCCACAAAGCTGGGGAATTTTCAATGGCAAGTAGAAGGTCACTAAGGCAATGAAGTGATGACATTGTTCTTCTCCTCTCTGTATTTAGACACAGACTTGAATCAGGAAAAGTTTTGTACACTGGCACAAAGAGCCCTATGCTTGAACCTATGTGCTGAGATTCCAGGGGTTGATGGCATGTACTGGAGGTCTCTGCCATGCACTGCTGAAGCACATGTCTCAATCTCAGTTTGATTAATGCAATTTTAAGTTATATTTATATGTCCACTGTTGACTTTAATTCTTAGCATCTTTGGGCACTAGCTTTGAGCAAGACATTTTACTTGGCTTTAAATCCTCATAGTAAATATATGAATAGATGGCATTATTATGTGATTTAACAGGTGAAAAACTGAAAAGCATGGCCACTGAACAACCGGCCCAAGTTTATCTAATAATTAGTAGGGGAGCCAAGAGCTAAACTGAGCGTGTTTTCCTCTCAAGCTCATGTTCCATATTATCATACATTGCTTACTTACATTCATTCTTTATAAAGTTGACCTTTTAACATAATATTAGTAGATAATCCTTCATAAAAAAGAAATCAGTATATGTGCTAGAAGATTTGAAAAGTTTAAAAATTTTTATAGCATGAAATTGTCCAAAAATATATAAGTATCAAGAGGTTTTGTGGGTGTGTGCGTCTTAACCGCAATATCACACTGTGCAGACACAGACACTGTGCCGACACAGACACTGTGCCATCATTCTAGGAGAACCTGCTGGGAGCAATGGTTTCACCATGCTCCCTTATATTAATTCTAGAGCAGTGGCTATGTTCCATGTGGTTTCCTAGGGTCTGAGTAATTAGGAGTATTACCAACTTAAAATGTCATCCAGCCTGCAAAATAACCGACTAGGCTGTCTATAGTTTTAGAAATACCATTATTCTCTTCTCATCCTCCCTAGAAAATACATTATCCTCACTTGGCCATGGTCCATGGCAAGAGCCCTGGACAGTGTACAATCCATACATTTGCAGTGTACAATCCATAGCCCAAAGAAAGAGGTGTTGTACTCAGAAGACCCTTTTCAGAGTCTTCTTTGATTTACTTTGGTTTCCAACTTCAGTTCAAAATATACTTGTGGCCCATCCGGCGCTCTGCTCGGCGCAACCAGCCAGCGCAAGTGGGTGAGCCAAGCAGCATGAAGCTCCAGGCTCCGTCCCGGGCCCCACCCATGCCATGGTGAGGCGCGGGCACCTGCAAGGTCCAGTCTCACCCAACCTCCCCCCTGCCTCTGGCCTTCCAGCTCTTCTGCTACCTGGTCCCACACTACAGAGGCACAGGGGATTATAAAGGACCTTGTCCTGAGCGCCACAAGATATAGCAGAAGTTAGTAACAGAAAGAGGGTTTCTCAGGCTCCTTGACGAAAACTGAAGCTCAGCGGAAAAGTAAAGAGACTCTCTACAATAAAGGCACACCAGACCATTGTACTTGGTAAGTTGGAGGGATCGTCACCTGGGACCATTACCTCCCATCAAAACCTGCACTATCTTCAGGGGAAGGGCACCTGGAACCTGCAGTAGAACTTTGCAGAGTTCAACCCTGCAGGAGGACAAGGAGCTCAACTTGGGACTAGCAGCCAGAAATCTGCCTGAATCTCACAGGTCTGCTGCTGGCTTGCCGAGACTCATTGACTCGTGTATGCACACGGATGCCTACGTTGCCTACTGTGACAGCAGAGACATACCCTGAAGGAGGCCCAT